TACTTTTTCCTTTGGGAAGGTACCATCTGTGAAGTCTGCAATTCTGTTGAAGAAAGATGTTGAATCTATTTAATTATTGTAGAAAAATAATTGATTTCTGTGCATTTGTCTTACACTTGCATTAAATTAAAGTTAAAGTCAATTAAGCATCATGAGGTGGAGGGCGGGGGGTGGTTCCCTAATATTTTTGCTGGGAGTTGGCAACCCTATTAGTTAGGTTGCTTAATATTTCCACTAAGTACTCTTTAAAATACCACAATAGGGGGGATGGTGTAGGTTTAAATTTATTAGATTGATCAGTATTGCTGAACTATAAAATGTTTTGGGTGCAGTGTATTTTTTGCATACAGGTATGACAGAATAGCTTCAGTCTCTTGTTTTTTAAAACTTGATTATGAACTTTTACAAAATGCAGCAAGATATTTATAAAAAAAAAGTTTTATTGATTACAAAATATCGGATTCATATTGGTATCAGCAGATATCCAAATTTATGATATCGGAATTGGTATCGGACATTAAAAAGTGGTATCGTGCCACCTCTAGTCAGTTCCTTGATCATTAATATGCAAATTGTTGTTACCATTGATCAACAACCACTGATTAATGCTCATTGATCAATGGATACGAGTACCATTCGCAGAGAGTTGGGGAATGGCTGTAATCACAGTATTGTAAGATGCTGTGATTGCATGATGATGTAAGATCTCCTTGTTTCAGAGATTTCCCTTTTCATATAAAAGACCTCCTTGACTCCCCACTCAAACCAGCGTTCTTCCCTGTCCTGTTCACTCATCCAAGTGACCGATAAAGTTACTTGGATGAAACGTTTTTCCCACTAAAAACGCTACTGGCTGAATTGTAAACGAGTCTTTGGATCTGTTTCAGAGCCCATTCAGTCCTTCTAATTTCTAAAATCCTTGTACTGTCCAACTCATTCTCATTCCCAGGGTGCCAAATTCTGACATTTTGACAAAGCTGCTGACTCAGCACACAGGTTGCTATAATACTGCATATAGAGAACAAAAGATCCTGCTTTAAAGATTAAAATAGTGTTGGCCATGTAAGGTATATATATCCAGTTTGGGAACTCTGTGTTTTGAGCTTTGCTTTACTTTCTGTTTTTCGTTTATCTATCAAAAAGAGAAAAGATGGTGGTCTGAGTTAAAACACACCTATTATGACCACTGACACATGATGATAAAGGGAATGAGGGCAGGCTCCTTATTACACTACATGGGCAAAAACACTGGGTCACTAACGCATTAGAAATGCTGATCTGCCAAGAAAACCCATGACATGAAGCTCCAGGTACACAGTTTTTGTGCAGATGTTAATGCAGTCCCTTTAACACTATGC